TGCTGCTGCCCGCCGCCCTCCTGCTTCACGAGGAGCGCAGCCGGGCCGCTGCTAAGGTAAGTCCCCGGCCCGCTCCGTCCTCCGCGTCCCGCCCTGCGCCCCGGGCGCCCTGCGAGGTCCCTTTGTCCCGCGCCCCGAGCCGCCCTCCTGCCCCTTGGGGATCGCGCGTGGCGAGGCCAGGTGCTCTCTCCGGCCCGGTCCCCTCTGACGATCCCTGGGGGCTGCGATCGTACATCCATTACGGAGCCTCCTTTGTTACGGTCTGGGGACGGGAGAGCTGGGAACTCCTCCGGGCCCAGGGGAAGGAGCAGAAGCCCGGCACGCGCAGTGGCTGGGCGAGGGTGCCCGGAGTCAGCGGGATTTGAACCCGCATCGCGGGACATTCAGCGGCTGGGCGCCTTTACCTGCTCTGTATACACGAGTGGGTCGGGGCTGGAGGGGTGGACCCGCGCCCCGCGCTGCTCAGCGCCCCACGCACATGTGCCTGAGAATGGCTTGGGCGTTTTCTTGTTGTTTGGGGACTCTGGTGGCCAAGGCTCGCAGCTCTGGGCCGTCCGCCTGGAAACAGCTGTATCTTTGCTTTCCCACGACTCTGCTGCTGCCGGGAGCATGCTGGGGACAGCAGCCGGCCCTTTGTAGGTCCAGCTCCGAAATGTCGCTGTCCTCCACTCACTGCCCTTCCTTAATGCGTTTGAAATGATGACCACACTTGTATTTGAGCGAGAAACCGAAGTGAAACTCGGTCGCATTGTTCCATGCCGAAGCTGTTTTCCTAGCCTTCATTTCCTCTGGTTCTGAGCGTGCCCAGAAAGGACCTGGAAGCTGGGTTTGCCAGAGGGAGGCTTCCAGCCCCCACCAGCCTGGCCGCCTGCTGGGCTTCCAGCTTCCCTTCTCTGGGTGGGAGGACAGACTTGAGCAGTTACTCAGGGTCCTAACCTTGTAGGGGAAGCTGGGGCTTCCAAACACACTGCATTTTCTCCCTCAAATGCTCACAGCTGCTTGCCAGCTTTTCTACACTCACTGTTTCTTAATTTTGCTATGTATATTTTTTGTTTTTAAAACTTTTACTCCTCTTCTGGAAGGATGGTCCCCAACCAGACTTGGCCGATATAAGTGAACTGCTCCGTGCCAGCACCAGCTGGTAACATCCGTGCCGCTCCCCACCGGCAGCGCCTGCATTGCACTTAGAAGGGCCTAACGATGCCATGAGCATTACTGTGTGGTTGCTCCTCCCAGCTCAGAGCTTGGCAGAGCACCGTAGCCGGTTATTTAAACACTCTTCAGTAATGATGACTAAATACCTTTTAAAGAGTAAGCTTGAAAACACTTCATTTTGGTCTAGAAATAGTGACCAAAAGTGTTAACATTTTGAAGGAGAGATGGTTTGGCCGCATGGCCAGGCTTATCAGAGAAAGTCCTCAACTGGGAAACAGGACCCCCTGATTGGATTTAGAGTCTGACAGATAATGCTAACTGAGCAGAGCTGAGTGCAGGAGGCAGGGGGTAGTTTTTCAGACACCCGGGACTTTCAAAAAGAACGAGCTGCAAACTCCTGCCTGAGAAATGGCCCTCCTTAGTGCTGACTGTGGGGTCATTGTGCTTCCCTTTAACCATTCTCTAAAGCCCGGTATATTCTCATCCTCTAGCTCTCTCTGTCCCTCCCAGTATTATGGGGTGTTTTAGGAGATCTGGCCCATGGGCAGCCTCTGCTTACCAGGTGACCAAACAGGTCCTCTCATGACAACACATGTTTCCTGGCCTGATTAGAGAGCAGGATGGATGTGCATGGGATGTATATGTGCACAGGAACGTTCATTTAGTGTTTGGAATCATTTTCAGGACCAGTGGTTGGTATAAAATGATCTCACTCTCATTGCATTGATAACATTTTTGCTTACTCCCCCAATCCGCTGTTCGCTATACTAAAATGTCGAAGTTGCTTTGGTATTGATGCAGCAAAACGTAACTTAAAAATACATTTTGAACATGACATGGAAACTTGTCGAGTCTTTATTTGGGAGCCATAGGGAGGATTCTTGGGTCCCTGCTCTTTTGGGTGGTCCGAGCCGCACTCTGCCCACGCTCACACATCCGAACGTGCCTGCTGCGGGCCGGGCAGGCCTTGCCCTGACCTGTTTATTTGGCAGGAAAGGCCATCGGTTTTGTTTCTGACCGGATCTGAGTGGCCGTGCTGTTCATCTCAGTGCATGGATTTTCTATAGCATTGCTTTTATCTCAGGCTGGACCGACCTCTGCTCTCCTCCCCAACTTTGCTTTTGTGCAGGAAGGAGGAAAGTGGCGGGGTGCCCCTGCCGTGGCTCCGAGTGACCTCTGCACTCAGCCTTGCGGATGAGCCGTTCCCCGCAGCTCAGTCCACACTGTCCTCCAGCTCGGCCTGTGTTGCTCCACAGGGCAGTTGTCAGTACCGGCAGTGAGAACTTGGTCCCGAGTGCCACGACGCTGGCCCAGCGATGTCTTCATCTCCTGACCATTAGTCACTTCTCTGGGGACTGCCCGCCTAGAACTCAAACTAAGGGAGATGTAACTCATGCCAAGTATGGCCATGTTCAACCAGAAACGTAACGAGGAGGTCGATTCCTGACTCAGGCCCAACAAGATCCCAACAGCGCTCTGAGATCTCAGGAGTGACACCCGCAGACGTGCTGTGCTCCAGATCTCATGCTTTTTACATATGAAAGCAGACCAGGGGGAAGGGAGGCAGCTTGAGGACAGCTAGAGGCATAACTGCACACACTCTTTGGAAGCTGGATTAGGAGTGCTGGGAGCGGGTCAGGTGAATGCAGACTGAGAGGCAAGAGGGTTCCAGCTTTCCTGTCTAACTGCCTCTTATTCAGCAGGTGGTCTGGGGACACTAGCCCGAAGCCTCAGTTTCCTCGGTAGGTCTGTCCCTTCGTCCCTGAGTCCATTTCTTCCTTCCCTCCACACGTACCTCCCACAGAAAGCACCTCCCTTCTGCCTGCCCCTGCCAGGTACTGCCCATGCAAAGGGACTGATGCCCTCTCTCCCCAGGGAGGTCCTAATCTGGAGAGACATGCCGACAAGCACACAGCTACAACCCGGGCTCGTACATGCCACACTTGAGGGGAACTGAGGTTCTGTAGGGCACCTATCCGACTGTGGGGACACAGGGAACTTCCGGGAGGACAGTCCACCTCTGGAATGTGGAAGGAATGAGACCTGCAAGCCAGACATTACTTCACGAGGGATGCCCCTGCCTGTCCTCGGGGTTTGACCCTGAAGCCTCCTCCTTTGAGATACCAAGATGCCATTGTTTCTGTTATTGACAGTCTTGGTAGCTGAACTCTGATCCCCAGGGGTAGGGAGACATTGAGGGGCGGTGTCTGGGAGCACATGGTGGGGGCCCCTGGCCTCACTGAGGACCCAGTACTGGGCCACGTCCCTCGTGGGAGGTGGCGGCTGCCCTGGGGGGGTTGGAAAGTTGCAGCATGGGTGACTGATTCTAGGAGGGAGTGTCTTTAGGAACTGACCCAGAAAACCTACCCTCATCCGAGCAAGGGCGCGGGTGTTCACAGACCCTTCATTACTCATTAACGAGCCTGGAGGCAGCTTTCTGGGAACGGGTAAGGGTGGTCATGAGAAGTGTGGTTATTGAGCTAAGGGCAGGTAAAGATTTTGCAGACAAATGGAACTCACAAGTGACACTCACACCCAAATCCTCTTAGACACGGGGAGGGTGAGAAGCGGGTAAGTCACAGCTCTGGGGACAACGAATTACTCAGTGTTCTAATGCCGGTTCCTGAAACTGAAAAAGGATCAAGCTCATGAAATGTCTCTCAAGCAGGCTTGGTCTTTGGAGTGTTTGGGATGGGGTAAGTAAAACAATAGAACCCTAAAATAATACCCTTAGGGCACTGGCCTTCCTGCCATTATTCCACAGCCACCAAGAATTGTCAGCCACAGAAAGTGCATGCATACCACAGAGAGGAGCACCAGCGAGCCCAGGTTCTAACCGGGAGATTCTCTGGAGGCGCTGACCACTGCCCGACTTCCTGGGGGCTGAGCGCTGTAATGCCGGGGACACAGGGCGCTGGTTTCCTCTGGTTTCCCTCCCATTGTTCTGGTCTTAACTCTGGGACCCGAGCTCGTCTTCGTTTCCTGCTCCTCAGTTTCTCCCTTCTTCTTCCCGACCCGCAGGGGCTATGGGTGGGCTTCCATGCGCTTCTCTCTGCACTCACTACCCTCCCTCCTGTGAGGGTGACTCAGGGTCTCCGGAATCCCAGCCCAGTGTCTCGCTTTCCCTGGGCCATCTCTGCTGGGCCATCCTGCTTTGATCTCAGCCTTAGTTCACGTGTCCTTCCCCCAGACCTCGGTCCTGGAGCCGCCTGATGTTTCCTGATACTGAGCCCAGAGCCCCTGGCTCAAAGCCTCAGCCTCCCCTCTCTGTTAACTCCCAGGTCTATGCAGTCACAAGTCCGCCTTCCCTCTACACACTTCTCAGTGACCCTGCTCCAGGTCTCCTGCCTGGCCTGGTGTCTACACCAACCCCGCCCACACCACCGCCACCACCCCGCTCTCTGCAGCCCTTGTTCCTACTGCTGTGAGGTGAACTGTCTTCAGAAGCGCATTTCTGACCACGCGTGTCCCTGCACAGGGCCCGATGCTGGTGGCCTGCGCTCTAACCAAATGCTGCCCTCCTTTTCTGTTGGGGTCCAGCCCACACCTCCACCTGGCTCTGCCGCCGGCTACTCCCCTGCATGCAGCTTTGGCAGAGTCAGCAGGGGCTCGTCCCTGCGCCCCTTTATTTCCTCCTGCTCTTCATCGGCACCGTCTCTCCTCTCCCCTTTGCCTGCTCTAACTCTACCGTAGGGCTGAGGCTCTGTGCAGTTCCTCTGAGATCAGGTAAAATGGGGAATCTTGGTAAGTATGGGATTAAGAAAACCCAGCCTGCATTTCAGTCACTCAGAGCAGGGCAATCTCTTTGAGCCCCGGGCCCATAATCCACACAATTAAACCTTGGGGGTGGGGGCGGGGAGTGCCCAGGAGATATGGGTCCTTCCTGCCACATGGCTTGGCA